TGTGCCTGTCCCAGCAAAGGACCTCCAGACTCTGCAGGTAGAGACAGCAGCAATGCACACAAAGTCCTAAGGAGACACCCAGCAAGTATCAAGAGCTCAGCCAGGGTCACTTTTGTTCTAGCTGTCACTGGGTCACTTTTGTTCCAGCTGTCATTGTCTATGGCCCAAAGGACTGGGACAGCATGTGCCAGCCCAGGGGACACTGAAGAGATGCCCTGACAAGTCCCTGCCTGAGAAAAGACTGGAGCAGAAGCCTGAGCCCCAGGTCTGGGAGCCCCACCCTAAGGAACACAGACCCTGGGGACATACATTGTAGTGCTCATGACCATCAGGTCCCCAAGTGGATGGAGGCTGTCACAGAGAACACACGGCCCATGTCCTTCTGGTCTCTTATAGTCTTTTAAAAGACAATGACATTGGTTTAGGTTTTTTTTCTGATTACAGAAGCAACATGTGTTCACCAAGAGAGCACTGATCACTGTGAACTGCAGGCCCTATACCCTCTGGCCATGTTTTCAAGGGCTGTCACCATTAACCACATGCCACCCGTTCCCTGGCTGTGAGCCCTGTTGGCCTGGGCTGGAATCCCAATGCATCCACTGATGAGCTGTATCACTGTAGGCAACTTCCTGAACTTTCCTGTGCTCAGTGTCCTCATTTGGAGAAGAGTGCTCATGACCGCCCTGCCTAGGGGGCAGGCCCCACTCCAGGCTCCCTGAGGAGGGGATAGGATCTGGAGGAAGGTGGTAGCCTTCAGAGAGGCTCCCCTACAAATGCCGGGGTCTTTAGGTGGGGAAAAGCTCAGAGGGCAGAGTGTAAGCCCAGGCCCAGAGCCAGCTGAGCCCCCAGGCCCCATGGCTCAGGGGACCACAGCAGCAGGGGCCCAGGGAAGCAGCTGGCAGGTGCCTGGCTTTGGCCTTTGCACAACCCACTCTGGGTGAAGGAGTCGGGGCCTGGGTGGTGGCCCCGTTTGGACAGGCAAAGAGAAAGGGGGAGAAAAAAGCTCACCTTCTGCTCTTTCCAGATTATCTTGCTCAGGGGGAGAGGACTTGTTCCCCGACCAACCTGAGGGTCAGGTTGCTTTTTCTTGTGGCTCAATAATGAGATGCAGATGAATTGGGGAGGAAGCGAGTTTTTATTTCTGTAACTGGTTACTGAGAGAAGGCCTGGAAAATATGGCCAGACCAACTCAAAGTTGCAAAGTTCTGCAGAGCTTATATCCCTTCTAAGCTATATGTCTACCTATAAGTGTGCATCCATCTAAAAAGACGTAAGTGATTAACTTTTGTTTTTTTTGAGACAGAGTCTCGCTCTGTTGCCCAGGCTGGAGTGTGGTGGCACAATCTCGGCTCACTGCAATCTCCACCTCCCGTGTTCAAGCGATTCTCCTACCTCAGCCTCCCAAATAGCTGGGATTACAGGTGTGCACCACCACGCCCATCTACTTTTCACGCCCATCTATTTTAGTAGAGATGGGGTTACACCATGTTGACCAGGATGGTCTCGAACCCCTGACCTCGTGATCCACCTGCCTCAGCCTCCCAAAGTGCTGGGATTACAGGTGTGAGCCACCGCGCCCGACCGGTTAACTTCTTTTAATCTATAACTAAGATCTGAGTCCTGAGGACCTCCCTCTGGAGCCTCAGTAAATTTATTTGATCTGAATGGGTCCGGGCGCTGGAGTGATTACCCTTGTCTTGTCTCCTGCTAAGTCATGGAGGTTTGCGGAGTTCCTTTATTCCCCAGTAAAATTTGTTTGTGGAGGCCTGGTGAGTTTCTTCAGACCCTCAAAAAAACATATTTAATCCTAAACGGATCCTGTTCAGAACTCTTTCATTGGCTTGTCGTGTCATTCACGGCCCGGGAAAGGCCTGGGCAAAACTCTTGGTGGGCTTTTGTTACATTCCAGCCTTTGTATAAGGGCGCTGGCTCTTTCAGCTTTTAATATTTAACTTCACCACTCGGTCAGGGCTGAAACAGTTGTTATGGAGGCTGCATGAGTGATACCTGACCTGTCACAGATTGAGGGCTGGCAAAAAGCGGCCCCCAGGGGTCTCAGTTTTCTGTGCCAGGCCCTGCTCCTGTGTCTGGCAGCCAGAGGGCCCATTCCCAGAGCCCTCCTAGGGCCAGGCTGCCCGGGGCGTGGTCTTCCTCCTGGCACCCTACCATGGGAGGGGCCGGGAAAGCAACTGCTCTGTGCCATCTTCATCGTCAGGAAAAGGAACGCGCCACACGGCTCACCGAGAGCAGGTCATCCCAGGCCAGGAACAGGTGGAGGCCAGGATTCCAGAAAGGCCACAGAGCGGGGCTGGAGCCTGCAGGAGAAGCAGCAGGGGGTCCCGGCCATGCCCCTAGGTTGGACTTGTCATTCCCAACCAACTGCGATGGCACACAGACTTCCCTTCCAAGGCGGTCAGTCGGCAGCCAATTACTACTCAGATGAGCCTGAAATGAATACAACACATGCTGGCCCTCCACGGACCTGGGGGTGCCATCCATAGGAGGCCAGGGCACAGGCCTGAGGACGGCGCTCCTGTCAGCCCTCTCTGCTCAGGGCCAGACCTGAGGATGGGACCCCTGTTAGTTCTCTCTGCTCAGGGGAAAGGCCCGAGGATGGGACTTCTCTCCATCCACTGTGCTCAGGAAACAGACGTGAGGACCTAAGTCAGTCCCCACTGCTAAGGGAAACAGCTAAGGCCATGGCCTGTCAGCCCTGTCTGCTCCAAGACAATCGGGGACCAGGAGTCTTCTCAGTCCTCTCTGCTCAAGGGACAGACCTTAGGTCGTGACCTCACTCAGTACTCTTTACTCAAGGGCGATTCATAAAGGGACGCCTCTCCACGTGCACGTGTTACTCAGCAAACATGAGAACAGGAACTCTCTCCTTCCCCTCAGCTCAGGGGACAGGCCCAAGGATGGGACCCCTGTCGGTCCATCTTCCAAGGGGATAGATATGAGGACAGGACCTCTCTGGGTCCCCTCAGCTCAGGGGACAGGCCTGAGGATGGGACCCCTCTCAGTCCTGTCTGTTCCCAAGGACGGGACCTCTCTGAGTCCTCTCTGCTCAGCTTCACCCGCCATGACTGGGCTCTGATCCGGCTCCCTCATCCAACTGCTGAAGCTCTCTGTGAGCCCAAGAGGCTGCTGCTTATTGGATGGGCTTGGTCAGTCCTTGGGCGCCCAGGAAGGCACCTTGGTGGACCTTTCTGTCCCCAGGCCACCCTCCCCCCAGCCAGGGGCACTTGGTGAGGACTGTGCAATGAAACACATTGCATGGTGGGAGCTGTGCAAGCCGGTACGCGCCGCGGGCCTATGGGGATGAAGGCGGCGGGAGACCCCCGGCGTGGGGCCCGCCCTTCAGGCCCAACACAGTCTCCTTGCTCCGGGCTGGTGGGGAAGCAACTGGTTCCTCCCGGTACCTCCTTCCAGACTCCCTGGCTAGATCCCTTCCAGGGTTCACGACCCAACTGTCCAGCATGTGTGCTCGCATGCTCAGTGACACACAGACACACACACATTCACCGACACGCTCACGTTCCAGAGACGTGCACACACATTGAGTGACTCGCTCAGATCAGTGACACACATTCTCACACACATTGACATATACATGCTCATTGACCCACCCACGTTTGCAGTCAGCACACTCACAATGACTCGCAAACTCACACACATACACTGACACACATTCAGTGACACACTCATGCTCTCGACACACATTCAGTGACATGCACGCTCACATTCAGTGGCACACACTCATTCCCACACACACTCCCACTCACGCAGGTTCAGTGAGGCAGTCACATGCTGTCACTTACATTCACGCACACACATTTTCAGAAACGCACGCACGTGCGCACTCACACACACACACATGCCCAAGCACACCCGCTCACTCACACTCACGCCTGCTGGAGAATCACGGCACACACAGGGCCACTCTGAACAGGGAAAACCAAGGAGCCCCGACAGGCCCTAGCAAGGTCAACCAGTCTCTTATCCTCTTTCCTCTCGTCCTGCCCCCCAGATCTGCAGGGGTCCTTGGAAAGTGAGTGGTTGGCTTGGCCCTGCTCAGGCACACGGGACAGACATGCTGGGGATGTGCCCAGCCTGAAGAAGGCAGGGAGAGCAGAGCACAGTGAGGGCCCCGGGCATGCCTGCAGGGTACCCCATGGGACACACTCCAAGGGTCCGTGAGACACTGGTCAAGTGCCTTCAGGCCGAGGAGGGTGCAGGCCCGGCCCCAGGGACCTGCCGCCCCCTACCCCTCACACACAGCCCTGCAAAACTACCGGTCCCAGGCCCACAGTCGTTCGGGTACGCCCAGGGTCTCCCAGGGCCCCTGCCGCCCTGCAGCTCTGCTCAAGCAGACAGGTCGCCTACATGCAGGTTTCCTCGGGCCAGGGGGACAGCCACCCACGCCCAGCACTGGCTCCAAGTCTGCTTCGGGGGATCCTGGCTGTCATCTGAGCCTTGTGGATGGTCCGAGGCTCTGTGCTCCAGAACAGCCGGATGAAGCGTGTGGGCGCAGACTGAGCGATTCCCGGGAGACCCTCGCCACCTTTGAGTCCATGATCCTGTCCCCTCCTTGCACATGTGCAGGGAGAGGCCTATCACCTGTCCCAGTCCCTTCCCCCGCAGACTCTGGGTTAGTTAAATGGCTGATCCAGGAGTGCCCTCAATTTGTGGCGATCTCACTGGCCCGTTGGGGGAGAGAGCCAGTCCCAGGAGGGCTCAGGAGGTCGGGTTCCAGGATCCTCAGGTCCCCACCAAGAATTGCCCCTGTGGCCACAGTGCTGAGGGAGGATTGCTGCCCTAGGGACTCACCCAGTCACTGTTGATGGCCACCAGCATCCTGTCACTAGGGTCCATGCAGCCCAAGGAACCCCACTGGTCCTCAGGGACCCTGCCCTTCACACACCCCAGTGTCAGCCTGGCCAATGTAGCCTTCACCCCACTCAACCTTACCCCCAGTTTCCCACAGCAGAGGCGAGACCGGCTGGAACACGGAATGAAATTTATTGAAGAGAAACACACATCGAAACCATTGAAGAGAAGGGAACCACAACACAGAGAGAAACTGCAAACAGCCACCGCAGGCCACAGGTCATGGGGCCCCTCCTCCTGGGGTTCCTGGCAAAGCACCTCATCTGCCTCCCCTCCCGCTGCAGCCCCCTCGGCCACCTCCCTCCTTCCCGAGGGCCCCAGGTCCGCCTCTTGCCAGGATGGTGGACTCTGGCAGTGTCCACTGGCTTCAGGAAGCCCCCTTCTGAGCCCATCCGCTGGGGTGGGGCCCTGCCTTATGGCTTTCACAGGAAAGTCACAGGACACTGGAAAACACAGCAAAGAACACCCCACCGGGTCGAGGAAACTGAGTCACAAGTAACAACAGGGGTGGAACACCAAAGCACAAAGCTCCCCGGGGAGCCTCAGGCAGGGCAGCCCCGCTCCGTCCTGGGTCCAGTTCTTCCTATAGTCACTGTCAGCATCACAGTCACTGAGTAAGCATCCGCTATGTCCTGGTTCCTCTTTTCCGCCATCTCCCGGGACTGCACTGGGGGCCTCCAGGGAGAAGCTGTTCAGAGAAGAACACACACAGCTCCACCAGAACAAGCAGCCCCTGGCCTAGATCTACGCCGGGAAAGCAGAGGTGGTGCTCACGACGAGGGACAGACAGCAGCGAGCAGAGCGTGGGCTTGCAGGAAGCTCACAGCACGTGTCCCGGGCCCAGAGGCAGCCACCCGGGTGGGCACACAGTACACAACTTTGCACGGGAACAACAGCTAGCAGTGGGTGAGCGTCTCGGGTGCGTGGGTCACTACAGGGCCGACACAAGTAAGGGTGGGATTCCTAGAACAGGGGTATAGTGCCCTGGGGATGGTGAGTGGGGGGACTCCTCTTTGGAGACCCAGGCAGCTGGCAGCCTTGAGAGGGCCTCTTTCCTGCATCTCTCCCAACCCAGGACAAGGGTTGGAGGCAGACATCTTCAGGTGCCCCTGCCCAGGCCGCAGCTGGCCACTCAGGGATCCCTCCAGGCCAGCCCCCCATTTGGAATCAAACGTGGTCATCTGGGTCATGGGGAAGGGCTGGGGGTGGTGGCCAGGGCCCCTTGGGGGAGGTGGGAGGCACTACTCCTGATATAGGGTGAGGGACTGGCCCTGGCCTGGCCTCCGTCTGCCTCTAGCGTGCTGCTGCCTGAGAGGAGAGGAGCCTTTGGGCCCTTGGAGCCTATTTGCCCGGGGAGGACTTAGGCTGGCCCGCCTCCCCAGCCCCATCCTCATCCTCGTTTTCAGACTCCTCCAAGATGGGCTTGAGCCCCTCCTGGGGAGGTTCCTCAGCCTCCTGTCCTCCCACCTGGACAACGCCCTCTGGCTCCCAGCTGGGACCTCCTGGGGCCATATCAACTGCATTGCCCATCTGGTCTGGGAGGCCCCCAGGGACATCGATGGGCCCTGCCTGACCTAGGACTTTGAGGCAGGCAGGGGCATTTTCATCTTCCCCAGTGGCAGGGGTGCCCCTGGCGGCCTCTTTGCTGGCAGAAGGGGCGTCAGCAGCATCTTCTCTGCTGGGATCAGCGTCGCTGGCATCCCCCTGGGCTGGGGAGGCCTGGGCGACATCTCCTCGGGCAGGGGCCATCTGGGCAGCAGCTGGGTGTTCACTCTCCACTGGGGCCTCTGGCCAGGCTGCACCCTGCTGGCTCTTTGCTGGGGAGGCCACCCACACCTCCATCTCCCGGATGAGCCGAAGCAGCCGTAGGAAGCCAGGCGGCCTCCTATCCAGCTGCATCTGCTTCAGGGTATCCTGGAGAGCCTCGCTGGGGCGGGCCCGAGACAGCACCTGCCGCAGTCTGAAGTGGTTGGCCATGGCTGGGTGAAAGGCCCCCTTCTCCATGGCCTTCTGCAGCAGGCCTTCCAGGCGCACCACGAAGGCAAACAGCTCCTCCTGGGGCCCCTGCGTGCAGGTCAGGAACTTCAGCCGTGTAGTCACCCATGTGTCCCGATTCCTAAATGCGTGCCCCAGCGCCGCCAGGCAGTCCAGCGTGGAGAAGCTGGGCTCTTCCTCCAGGAGGCCGTTCACGATCTCCAGGGCGGCACCGCGCAAGCTGCTCAGCACCCGCCTCCTCCTCTCGCTTTCTGATGCATCGCACCACAGCTGCAGCATGTCGTTGACATGCTCCAGCCAGCTCTCAAAGGAGTCTTCCATGCAGCCTGGCTGCACCATCCCAGAAAAGTGTCTCAGTTCCTGGTGGCCCACAGTTTTCAGCAGAGGCCACAGGGCCCTGTTCCATGACTGGGTCCAGGTCTCTACCTCACCTGCGCCTCCTGCCTCACCTGCACCTCCTACCTCAACTGCACCTCCTGCCTCATCTTCACCTCCTGCCTCATCTTCACTTCCTGCCTCATCTTCACTTCCTGCCTCATCTTCACTTCCTGCCTCACCTGCGCCTCCTGCCTCACCTGCGCCTCCTGCCTCACCTGCGCTTCCTGCCTCATCTTCACCACCTGCCTCACCTTCACCTCCTGCCTCATCTTCTCGTCCTGCCTCATCTTCACCTCCTGCCTCATCTTCATCTCCTGCCTCACCTGCACCTCCTGCCTCACCTGCACCTCTGGCCACTGCTTGCCCCTGCGGCTGTGCAGGGAAACTGGCCATATCCTGAAACTCAGCATCAGGAGCCTGGGACAGGGAGATCACGTTCCACGGTCCCCCTTTGCCTGGTATTTGACGGGGAATCAAGCTTCGGTTTAAACTGTCAGCGAACTCCACCAAGGCTGCCCTGGCCCCAAGCCCCCTTCTGAAGACCTTGGTGAGCACTCGGTACCTGCCCAGGGGTGACAGGGCAGCCCGCACTGCCTCCTGGAACTCATGTTCCTCGCAGTCGTCAGGGATACCCAGGATGAGCAGGGAGCGCTCTGCGTTCACACCCATCCACCTGCACCAGTCCTGAATCATTGCCCGAGCCATCGCAGAGGACTTGGAGGGAGCTTGATCAGATAGGAATGTGTGATGACTGTTGCAGTCTCTGACGCAGCCTGCGTGTGCAAAGGGGAGAGAGGGATGTTGCTGCCAGTCAGCCCACCCCCACTACAGGCCTTCACCCTCCCCTCCGACGCACTGCAGCACCCAGGGATCCACTCCCTCCCACTGCTGCAGCCCAGGCACCCCCTCAAGCCCTCCCCCAGTTGGTGACAATCCCTTGGCATGCAACCGCTGCCTCTACTGGGAGACCCCCTGTTGACTGAGCTGAAGCCCCTATCACTTCCACCTCTCACCATCATCTGTGACACTGCAGCCAGAAGTCCTCCTCTATCCAAGCCCCTGCAACAGGTAGCTTCCCCCCTCCCCCACCGCGGAGTCCCTGCGGCCAGGAATCGTCCCCTACACAGATCCTGGCAGCGTGGAGTCCTTCCTTACCCAAACTGCAGAAGAGAAGCAGAGAGACCTCCCCGCTTCTCTTTCCCAGCGCCAAATCAGGAGCCCCCTACCTCTTTTGATCCTCCGTGTAACCCAGCAACCCCCTCCGCGCCTCCCACACCTGCAACCAGAAGTCCCCTTCCTCCCCCCCCCACAACTAGAGGCCCCCTCTCTCCCACCGCCCCCTGCACCTCTGCAGCTGGAGCCCTCCTCCCACAGACTCCTGCAGCCGGGAGCCCCCTCCTCCCCTCTCCGCGGGCCCTGGGCCCGACCGGGACCCCCTCTCGCGCCCACTGCCTAGGGAGGCAGCGATCTGGCCCCTGCCCACTACGCCCGCTGTCAGTTTGGGGTCCCGCTGGCGCCTGCTCACTTTCTCCGACTCTGCGGACGCTGCGACCACCGGCGGAAAAATGCTGCCTTCGGGCTGCGGAGCTCACTCTGGAGGCTGCCTAGAGGCCCTGGAGCAGGAGAGTGGAAGATCGCGCCTCAGTCACGCGGCTGCGCTGCGCAACGCTGGGGGTCTCCCAGGCCAGCTGTGCTAAGGCCACATGGGATTTCCGCTTTTCCCAGAAGTCCCAGGTAGATGAGGAAGAAAAATTTCGGTGTCTCTGTGGAAGACAAGTGGCTAGACAGGAGGAGACTTCTGTGTTGCCCTGGCAACAGGACCTGCATGGTAAGGGCTTAATGTTCCAAGGCTTGGAGCCTCTGGGAGCAACAGGCCCACCGATTGGTCCTCCACCATCAAAATGACCTCAATCAGTAATTGTGGCAAATTGCTGGAGTGGGTGGACTAGAAATCACGGACAGGAGAACCTAAGACCAGGTCCCCAGGGTATTCACAGCCTGCCATGATCATGCCTGGAATCCCTGCAACACAGAGTGATTGCTGGCTGCGTTCCTCATCACAGCTCTTTACCGGCCAGCCTTCAACCACCTGGGCAGCCATTGCATAGGAAAGCTGGGTGGCCTATATGTGTCACTGAACATGTATGCCCCTCATCTGTAAATGGGCAATAAAACACTTTCCTTTTTATGTACTGCTGGATATGAACTTCTAATACATAGTTTTGCTACACTGTTCATGACAGACGCTTTTCTGTAATTTTCTTTTATGTCATCTTTTTTGATCAGGATTTAGGTTTATACTGGCCCCATCAACTGAGTGTTTGTGGGTTTGTTTGTTTTAGCTTTAGAAATGTTTTTTGACAATAAATACATTTGTGAACTATAGGGATGTTTTTTCTATTCAATCCATTGGAAGTTTTGATAAATTGCTTTGTTTCCAATGGATTTGTCAATTTTATCTAAGTTGTCAAAATTATTGTTATAAAGATAATATTCCCCCACTATTCTTTTAATGCCTGTATGATCTCTAATGATATCCCTCTTTCATGGCTGATATTAATGATTATTTTCTTTTTTTCTTGATTAGTCTTCCTAAGGGCTATATATTTTGTTGCTCTTTTAAAATATGTATGATTTGCTTACTTTCAGTTTCTTTTCTATTTGTTGATTTCTGCTCTTATATCTCTATTATCTCCTTCCTTCTTCTTCAAGATTTACTTTTCTATTCCTTTTCTAGCTTTTTATGTCAAATGTTTTATATATTTACTGATTTATATTAAATATTAAATATATTTTACATATTTACTTCTTGTCTAGTGCTTATCTCAATTGCTGAGGCCGGGATGTTGACTCTTCAACTATAATTGTGGAAATGTCAATTTTTGTTTCACATATTTTGAGGCTCTATTATTGGGTGCAAACATATTTATGAGTTCTATGTGCTTCTGATGAAACCTTATATAATTATTGCCTTTATCTCAGGTGATAGTCCACCTTGTCTGTTATCACAGCCATTCCCACTTTCTTATGCTTGCCCCTTGCATGGTATATAATTTTACAACCTCTTGCTATCAACTGATCTGAGTCTCTATCTTAATGGCATCTCTTGGAGACAGTAAAAGTCTTTCTTTTATTCTTTCTCACAATCTCTGCCTTTTGATTGGAGTATTTAGTCCATTTACATTGAATGTGATGTTTGATATGTCTGGATTTAGGTCTATACTTTTACTATTTACCCCATCTGATTTTGTTCCCATGTTCCCCATTTTCTGCCTGGATTAATCAAATTTTCTCACTTTTAATGTATTTATTATCTTCTTACCTATACCCATTTGCATTTTTGTAGTGCTCACTCTAGAGATTACAATATCTTTAACTTTTCACTGTCTACTTAAAGTTAAAATTATACATAAATGTAAGAAACTCTCCGTCATATAGATTCATTTCCATTCCACGTCATCCTTTATGCTATAGTTGCCACACCCTAGTATATACTATCAAGCTGTTTCCCTTAAAGTCATATTATTATAAAGAACTTAAGAGCAAATAACTATTCATTTACTATTTCCAGCGTTCTTCACTTCTACCCAAAGATCAAAGATTTCCTCTAGTTTCATTTTTCTTCCATTCAAAAGACTTCCTTTAGTATTTCTTTTAGTGCAGTTCTGTTGATGAATTTTCTTCGCTTTCATGTATCTCAAAAGATACTTATTTCACCCTCGTTCTTAAATTTGTTCTATTTCTCTAGATACAGAATTCTAGATTGGAAGCTTTTTTTTTTCTTACAGCATTTTAGAGATATTGCTCCACTGTCTCATGGCTTCCATTGTTTCTGATGAGAATTAAGTGGAGATTCTTAATATGCTCCCATATGTAGTGTTTCACTTTACTCTGACTACTTTCAAGATTTTTCTTATCCTTCTTTGTTTTCAGTAGCTTGACTAAAATGTGCCTAGATGTTTCCCTTGTATTTATCCTCTTTGTGGTTCACCAAGTTTCATTAACTTTGTAAATAGTGGATTTCCCAAGAAAAAAATGATACTAGAGGAATTTTTCAGTCATTACTTCTTCAGATAGCTTTCCTTCCCCATTTTCTCTATCCCATCCTGGCATTCAAAATACACATTTGACCTCTATATGTTGTCCAACACACCACTGAGATTCCATTCTTTTTTATCGTTGTTCCTCTTGGTTTATCCAAATAGATCACTTCTGTTGATCTTGCTTCAAGCTCATGACTCCTCTGTCATCTGCAATCTGTTATTAAGCTAATCCATTGAATTGTTCACTTGATGTTTTTCAGTTCTGGAATTACAGTTGGTTCATTTCTCTTTTTTAAATTTGAATTTGGGGTTTAGGGTACATGTGAAGGCTTGTTGCACAGATAAACAAGTGTCATGAGGGTTTACTGCACATGTTATTACATCACCCAGGTATTAAGCTCATACCCAATAGTTATCTTTTCTGCTCCCCTCTCTCCTCCCACCCTCCAGCCTCAAGTAGACCCCAGCATCTGTTGTTTCCTTCTGTGTGTTCAAAAGTTCTCATCATTTAGCTTCCACTTGTAAGTGAGAACATGCAGTATTTGGTTTTCTGTTCCTGTGTCAGTTTGCTAAAGATGGTAGCCTCCAGCTTCATCCATGTTCCCACAAGACATGCTCTTGTTCTTTTTATGGCTGCATAGTATTCTGTGGTGTATATGTAGCATATATTCTTTATGCAGTCTGTCATTGATAGACATTTATGTCGATTCCATGTCTTTGCTATTGCGAATATGGCTGCAGCGAACATTCGTGTGCATGTGTCTTTATGGAAGGATGCTTTCTATTCCTCTGGATATATACCCAGTAATGGGATTGCTGCTTTGAATTTTTATCTCTTTAAGGAATCACCACACTGCTTTCCACAATGGTTGAACTAATTTATACTCCCACCAACAGTGTATAAGTGTTCCCTTTTCTCCACAACCTCGCCAGCATCTGTTATTTTTTTGACCTTTTAATAATAGCCATTCTGACTGATGTGAGATGGCATTTCATTATGGTTTTCATTTCCATTTCTCTAATGATCGGTGATTGATTGAGCTTTTTTCATATTTTGTTGGCTGCATGTATAGCTTCTTTTGAGAAATGTCTATTCATGTCCTTTGCCTGCTTTTTAATGGGGTTGTTTTTTTTCTCTTGTAAGTTTATTTAATTTCCCTATAGATTCTGGATATAAGACCCTTGTCATATGCATAGTTTGCAAATATTTTCTTCCATTCTGTAGGTTGTCTGTTTACTCTGTTGATAGTTTCTTTTGCTGTGCAGAACCCCTTAAGTTTAATTAGATCTGACTTGCCAATTTTTGTTTTTATTTTGATTGTTTTGGTGTCTTTGTCATGAAATCTTTGCCTGTTTCTATGTCCAGGATGGTAACTGCCTAAGTTGTCTTCCAAGATTTTTATAGTATGGGGTTTTAAATTTAAGTATTTAATTCATATTGAGTTGATTCTTGCATACAGCGTAAGCAAGGGGTCCAGCTTCAATCTTCTGCATATGACTAGCCAGTTATCGCAGAACCATTTACTGAATAGGGATTCTTTTCCCCATTGTTTGTTTTTGTCAGCTTTGTCAGAGGTCAGATGGTTGTAGGTGTGCAGCCTCATTTCCGGGCTCTCCATTCTGTTCCATTGGTCTATGTGCCTGTTTCTGTACCAGTACCATGCTGTTTTAGTCACTGTAGCCTTGTAGTAGAGTTTGAAGTTGTGTAATGTGGTTTGTTCAGCTTTGTTCTTTTTGCTTAGGATTGCCTTGGCCATTTGGGCTCTTTTTTGGTTCCATATAAATTTTTAAATAATTGTTTCTAGTTCTGTGAAGAATGTCATTGGTAGTTTGATAGAAATAGCATTGAATCTATAAATTGCTTTGGGCAGTATAGCCATTTTAATGATATTGATTCTTCCTATCCATGAGCATGGAATGTTTTTCCATTCATTTGTGTCTTCTCTAATTTAGTTGACCAGTGTTTTGTAATTCTCATTGCAGAGCTCTTTCACCTTCCTCGTTAGCTGTATTCCTAGGTATTTTATGTTTTTGTGGCAATTGTGAATGGGATTGCCTTTCTGATTTGGCTCTTAGTTTGGTTGTTGTTGGTGTATAGGAATGCTAGTGATTTTTGTGCATTGATTTTGTGTCCTGCAACTTTGCTGAAGATTTTTTTATCAGATGAAGGAACTTTGGGGCCAAGACTATGGGATTTTCTAGATGTAGAATCACGCTGTCTACAAACAGAGATAGTGTGACTTTTTCTCTTCCTATTCAGATGCCCTTTATTTCTTTCTGTTGCCTGATTGCTCTGGCTAGGACTTCCAATACTATGTTGAATAGAAATGATGAGAAAATGTATCCTAGTCCTGTGCTGGTTTTCAAGGGGGAATGCTTCCAGCTTTTGCCTATTCAGTATAATGTTGGCTGTGGTTCTTATTATTTTGAGTTATGTTCCTTCAATATCTAGTTTATTGAGAGTTTTTAAAATGAAGTGATGTGAAATTTTATCAAAAGTTTTTTCTGTTTATCAAGATAACCATGTGGTTTTTGGTCTTTATTTCTGTTTATGTGATGAATCACATTTGTTGGTTTTCATATGTTGAACCAAACTTGCATCCTAGGGATAAACCCTACTTGATAATGGTGGATGAGCTTTTTGAGGTGCTGCTGGATTTGGTTTGCAAGTATTTTATTGAGGATTTTTGCATTGATGTTCATCAAGAATACTGGCCTGAAGTTTTCTTTTTTTCTTGTGTATCTGCCAGATTTTGGTATCAAGATGATGCTAGTTGCATACAATGAGTTGGGGAGAAGTCCCTCCTCCTCAATTTTTTGGAATAGTTTCTGTAGGAATGGTGCCAGATCATCTTTGTATATCTGGTAGAATTTGTCTGTGAATCCATCAGGTTCCAGGCTTTTATGGTTAGTAGGCTATTTATTACTGACTCAATT